TGCTGCTGCCGGTGGGTACTGGTGCTCGAGCTTGATGCGATGTTGATCAGTCTGCTTTCCATCCTCCATGTGCGGTGCCGCCGCTGGCTTGTGTAGTGTAACTCTCCACAGCTTCCTAGTGAGCAGGTGCATGTGGAGAGTGTACTGCTAGTTTCAATTGAAGGCAGCATTGTTTGCAGTTTGGATTCTATGATGCTCACCGGTCTGTTTGTGAGGCCTTGATTCGGCTATTTTAGCATTAGATTCAGAGTCATGTCCATAACTGTTTATGCACCCAATGTTTGAAAGGACAATAGCTGATTTGCTGCCCCCTCCTACTTGCCTAGCTAGAGATGAGTACTATTATCTGAAGTTGTTCAGCTGCGAAACTATGTGGAAAGTTTGGTCTCCGAGGATTTGGAGATCCATATTGATGCTCTGGTTCTGCATTTCCGCCATCTGAGGAACTGAATCTGGAGTTAAAGTCGGTGAATGAATAATTGTTTATCTTCTACTTCTGTTTAATGGATACTAGCTGATTGACTTGTTGCCTTCTCTTATGCATTGTGTAAACACGTGTTGCTACTTTGTTCCCCAATTATACTGACACATTTTATTCTGATATCTATCTCATTTCTGAACTGGTTCATGTGTTGGCTTAGAAAGCATTCTACATTGATTACCTTTTCCCTTTCCACTCCTTAATCTCGCTCTCCCTGGCATCTCTCTTGAGCACTGACGTAGCAACAAGACGATCTAGCTAGGCTACTCTGAGGCAATACCTTCCCTGTGATATCACATTTGCCGTACTGTTGACTCTTTTTCTTCTTATCTTGCAGGTAGGCACATAGCTGCTCTGTTTCTCCTGTCTGCAAACATATGTGATAATGGACAACCTTGGACATAGGGAAAATGGGAGGCAAAGGCCGGACCCATATAAAGCACTTCATACTCAGGTTTGTGTAATTCGTCATGAATAATCATCGTGCAAGATTTTAGAGTTATATTGTGTTCTTTGACATATGAAAGTTACACTGTGTTAGTAATTAAGGCATAGAACATTGATTTGATATCTTCTGCTAGTAACCATTGTCCTGTAACGAATCTTCATTAAGGGCATAACCAGATCACAAGCTGTAGATGAGTGGCTAAAGTGTACATGTGCTTGTTTTAGACTGAAGGCAATATTATTCAGCTATATGGGAAAGCTAAAAGTTGAGATAGTATGCTTGTCAGTGCTTGTCACTCAGCTAATGTACATAGTATCCCTAAAGTTTCTCCAAACTGAGGAATGATCAAACTAAATAGCAGAAGTTCATGGTGATAAGATAGTAACAAATTTCGCAGCCCGATTTTGTTCTTTTCTTTGTTTTCGTTCTCCTGCATAGCTGCAGAGCAAATGGTACAGTCGAAACAACCATGCCCAAGAAATGAAGATCAAAACTTATAATTGTCTCGGAAATTCTGATGTTTAGCTTTTATGTACTGCATTCAGAATTGTCACAAACGTCATGTTATATTTTTTTTTCTAATCATAATTGTCGCAATGATTTGCTCTCTAGAAGAGTGTGGTTCTTATGATAGTTGCTCTATGTTTCAGTGGATGATGCCCCAAAGGCAAATGAAGGACCACCACAGCATGAACCTCCTAGCACTAATGAGTGAGAGGGACACCGCCATCATGGAGAGAGACCATGCTCTGGCTGAGAAGAAAGCTGCCATGGCTGAGAGAGACATGGCGTTTGCCCAGCGGGACTCTGCAATGGCTGAACGGAATGCTGCAATCGTCGAACGAGACAATGCCCTTGCCGCACTTGAACTAGCCCGTACAAATGGATTTAATATGAATAACGGGATCGGATTCAACCCAGGATCTCTCAATGGAGCAAAGAACTTCCACCACCACGACCAGCAGCCCCATGCTCAATCATCGCCACTGCAACTGGCAGATTCTCCATATGACCATACTAGAGAAATGCACATATCAGATGCATACCCAATCTCAACAGCCCCGGTGAGTGCTGCTGGAAAGGCAAAGAAGCCCAAGAAGAACAGTTCCCAAGCATCTCCACTGAAGAGGCCGTCAGGCGTGCTCCGGAAAACCAAGAAAGCCGGCGGTGACTGGAGAGATGCCGGAATATCTGGTGTCGGGGAGGATCCGGCTCGCGCCGCTTCTGAGATGAAGAACGAGTGGAAGGACCAGGACCTTGGCCTGAACCAGGTCTCGTTCGACGAGTCGTCCATGCCTGCGCCTGCCTGCTCGTGCACGGGGGTCCTCCGCCAGTGCTACAAGTGGGGCAACGGCGGGTGGCAGTCGTCCTGCTGCACCATGAGCATGTCCATGTACCCGCTCCCGGTGATGCCCAACAAGCGCCACGCGCGCATGGGCGGGCGGAAGATGAGTGGCAGCGCCTTCACCAAGCTGCTCAGCCGGCTAGCGGCCGAGGGCCACGATCTCTCGGCGTCGGTGGACCTCAAGGACCACTGGGCCAAGCACGGCACGAACAGGTACATCACCATCCGGTAGCCCTGCTGCTTCTGTTCAACATGCAAGGAGGGATATCAGGTCCTGTAGTCTCCTTACTGGGGGTCATCATCATCTCTGTAATGTCATTGAGGGATGTAGGCTAGAATTCTGTGTGGGTCCTCCTCCCTTTCTGAACCCCGAGTCGCTCTGCGCTGGACAGTGGAAATGTAATTTTAGCAACCCCAGGTATTCGTCGTCGATTCGCTGTATAGTTTTGACTTCTAGATTTAATTGGCAGTAGGCGTTTCTTGCTTTGTCATTGGCTTACATATCAGATGCTGCATTAGGATTCGTGTCTTGCTCCTGCATGGTAGCACAAGAATTAGAACGAACAAGGATAACAGCAGCATCACCGCATCAGGCTGCGCGAACGTACCTCAGCAGTGAAATCCCATTTTTCATTATTAGCAAAATGGCTCGTGTGTTGCAACGGGAGGATTTTTTTTTTCATAATTTTCAATGGCCATGATCACATTTTGCTGCATCATCGAGAGATCATTTTCGTGAAAATTATGAACAATTTTTGAAAATCATGAACATTTTTTTAACTCGTCTACGCATATGAAATCATGAACGATTTTCAAATTTGTAAACATCTTTACAGAATTTCAAACACTGTCCAAAATCATGAACATTTTATACTATTTGCAAATATTTTCTAAAATTATGAATATTTCCAAATAGTATAAAATGTTTTCGTGAACAGATGTATACCATGATACTATTTGCAAATATAGTATCATATTTTCTAAAACATTATGAATATTTGCAAATATGATACTATTTGCAAATAGTATAAAATGTTCATGATTTTGGACAGTGTTTGAAATTTTGTAAAGATGTTTACAAATATTTGCAAATAGTATCATGGTATACATCTGTTCGCGAAAACATTATGAATATTTTAGAAAACATTATGAATATTTGCAAATAGTATCATGATATACATCTGTTCGCAAATATTTGTAAACATTATGAATATTTGCAAATAGTATCATGGTATACATCTGTTCGCGAAAACATTTGAATATTTGCAAATATAATACTATTTGCAAATCATGATTTTAGAAAAATTATAAAATTATGAATATATTTTTAATATACAAACTTTTTAAGAAATAATGAACTTTTTTTGATTTCCTGAACATTTGTTTTCAAAATTGTAATTTTTTTTTGAATATTCAAACATTTCCTGAATCCACAAGTATTTATAAATTATTAAATACAAATATTTCAAAGCTCTCATTTTGGAATTTTCAGAACTTTTTTGAAGTCACAAATTATTTAAAGTAGAAAAAACAAAGACGGAAATGGAAAACAAAATTTAAAAAACAGGTCGCCCAAACAGGCGTGCTGTGTCGTCTCCCAACACGTAGAGCGTAGTATAGATGGTTCCTACTGGGCCGGCCCAGACAGGGATTCCCCTGTGTGAAACGTTTTTTACCACTTAGATGGCGTCAGTGGGTAATATTTTGCAACTTTGAAGACAATTTCAGTGATGTACCACCAGAAGCAAAAACCCCTTTATTATTGGGTATAGATATATATTATTAAGTTGTGGTCTTGCCATCATCGCACACAATCTGGATGCCAAAAGTAAAGTACACAAATAGCTCCTTTATTATTGCTCATCCGTCCTTTCGCGAGCAAACCCTCAGGTGGCGGCCGACGCTGGGAGGAAGTGGCGGCGCCCCTCTCGTGACCTTGACCTCGAGCAACAGAGCCAATCGTGACTTGCTAGCTCGACTTGCAGTCTCGATTGGGGAGCTTTTATGACGTCGCTTCCTAGTCCTGTCTAGTGACTCTCCCCTTTTGTTGCCTAAGGTTTTTTTTTTCTCGAAATAGTTGTTGCCTAAGGTTTGTCCTTTCAGGAATCCGAGCTATGCCATGTAGTATCAGTGTGAATCACCCTTATCACTTCGCATCAGCTGCAAACCTGCAATGGCGTCCTTATTTCTCCACTAAAGTGATGTGTCGTCTCATAGCTAGGGATAGGGGTTGCCGTCCCAGGTGATGCTAGTTTTCAAGTGCTCTCGTTTAGCTTTGTGTGTGCTATATCTGTTTGCATTATCGGTTGAGCGGCTCGGCCAGGTGTTGATGCTGGACTGTTGGCAGTCGTTGGTGCATGAACACATTTCGTCCATTGGGATGGGAAGGGGAATTAATTAATGTTGTCAACGTGGTTTCCTGATTTAATGTGAATTACCATTGTTGTCAAGATCAATTAACAATTAATGCAATCAATTTTTTTTGAGGGGAATCAATTTTAGTTAATGCAATTTATAATTTTATTCCTAATTTATGGACCATGTATTCTCATACAATAATATATATATATATATATAATAAAAATCGCTAAAAATAAGGAGAATTTGGCCATCGTGATTAGGGTCGCTCGTTTTTTAACTTTACTTTAGTGGAATAAGGTGGTTATAATTGGCAAATGGTGGTTTTACAGTAGCAGCAGATCCCGGTCCTCCGCCGGCCCAACCCAATGGCGCAGCCGGCGCTCCCAGACGAACTCCTGGAGGAGATCTTCCTCCGCCTCCCCGCGGCCGCCGACCTCGCGCGCGCCTCCGCGGCCTGCGCCTCCTTCCGCCGCGTCATCGCCGGCCATCCCTTCCTCCGCAGATTCCGCGTCCTCCACCCGCCGCCTCTCCTCGGCATCCTCTGCTGGGATCTCACCCCGGCCCAGCCGCCCCACCCTTCCGCCGCCGCGGCGGCCACATTAGCCGGCGCCGACTTCTCCTGCCCCTTCCTCCCCCCGTCCCCCGACCGCTGGTACCGCCGCGACGTCCTCGACGGCCGCGCCCTTTTCAGCCCCCGCTTCAAGGCGGGCAGCCATTCGCGCAACAGCATGCACAGGCCCAGCGACCTGGTCACGGAGTTCGCCGTCTGCGACCCGCTGCACCGCCGCTACCTCCTGCTGCCTGCCCTCCCCGGCCATCTAGCCGACCAGGTCCACCAGCTGGACATCGTGGAGTGCGAGCCCTTCCTTGCTCCTCCCGGCGACGGCGAGGACTCCTCATTCAGAGACTTCAGAGTAATGTGCTTGCTGCGGTGCACAACCAAGCTCGTCCTCTTCGTCTTCTCCTCCTGCGCCGGGCAATGGCTCGCTGATCCCATCACGTTTGACGTGTTTGGGCACGTCGCGGCGTTGCGCCGCTACTACGCCCATGGATGCTTCTGTTGGCAGATTTATGAGGGTGCCGACATGCTCGTGCTCGACACGCGCAGGATGGAGTTCTCCACTGTCGACCTCCCACCTCCACCTGGCTCTTATATGCGGGACATGGCCATTGTTGAGGCAGGAGAAGGAAGGTTTGGGATGCTTACTATCTCTGATCAAGTAAAACGTGGTGTATATCATCTCTTGTATGCCACACGATGCAAGGATGGGAATGGGGCAGACCAGTGGCAACCCAAGCCTGCAATCTCTTTGCCGGAACATTATCGCTATTGCATCAAGGGTGTAGCTGGTGGATACTTGCTCCTAACTGGGTATCCAAAATATGATAGGCCAACAGTAGACTATTTTTCACTGGATCTCCAGACTTTCCAGGTAGAATGGTTCTGTCAGACTGGTGATTATGTCATGATTGGTCACCTGTATGCCGATCTCCCACCGCCCTTGTCCCCACCAACACTTTGAAGTGGTAAGCTTGCCCTCGATTTTGAATTTCTTATTTTGCATCCATATGACATTACAATATGATGCAGGTGTTGGTTTTTTTTGGAAGTGTGCATTATCATTATACTTGGCCAAACGGCCCTGAATTAACGCTGACATGGCCAACTCCCAAGTTACTTTCAACCCTTTATAATACTCGCTCATATTGCTTGTTGTTATTTAGTTGCTATTCTAATGGTTAGTAGTTTAGTACATCTGTGAAATTCGAAAACTGTGAATTTCAGCATAGGCAAGTATTTGTTTCTCATCCTGTGAATATGACTATCATCATTTTCAGTGTCATATAGAAACAGTAATCAGCATTCTTTTTGTGAATAGTACGCACAGGATTTGGAT